AAAAAAAAAAAAAGAGAGAGAGAGAGAACAGGTAGACGTGTTAATTTTCTCTTACTTTTTTAAAACACAAATTCGTTTGATCATTTTATAAAAATTTTATTTACATCTGAGTGAAAAAGTTGCATTTGTTTTAATAAATCAGCTCAGAGAATACATTTGAGATTATCACATGAATGTATCTTACGGCGTAAGCATATCTTATGGTAGATATTCCAGGAGTGATGGAAAATGTCATGTCTTCCTTCTGCCTATCCTACAGCCTGGCAGATATTATATAGCTTAATATTTGTTGAATGAAAAAATGCTTACTCAATCTGCGATCTCTCTCCAGCTGCCCCTAAGTCGCTCACTTCCCCTTCACAGCTAAACTACTGCAAATCATCACGGATGCTCATCTTTCCTTCTTACCTCCCATTCTCAGCTCACATCACTTCAATCTAACCTCTGCCATATAGCCTTATAGTCACTGTGCTGAGACAGTGACTTCCACTCCATCTCTCCTGAGGGTGGCTTCGAACTTCTGTGTTATCTCAGGAGCAGGGAGAGAAGTTGAGACAGCAGCTCACCTCACAGGAGTCGCTGGGCATGTGCTTGCTCTGTGATGTCTCAGCCCACAGGCTCCTTCCTCCACAAAGCAATGCCAGCCAGTAGGGGAGGGAGTCAGCACTGCTTCAGGAACATCTGGTTTATCTACTCTGGCCAAGAGCAGCCCCTGATTGGAGGGGCAGACAGGGCTGTGCTCATATAACCCCCTGGTGTACAGGTTCACATTTTCTCTCCATTCAGATCCCAGAACCTTAGACTGTTCTACACTCAAACCCCACCCTAGTTCCACTCCCTTTCTAGTGAAAGTCATGTCAAAATGACTTTCCTACCACATCTGCTCCCCAAATATCTTTATAAGATATATGCAAATATGAACATGTAAAATATTCGCAAACAGACAGGACCACATACAGAACCAGTTACAACTATATCTCCCATATGTATCACTCAGCAATTTCTCTTTATTTTAATTCAAACACAATTCTCTCCTGATCAGTGTTCTTCATCCTCACTCAACACTACTTTTTTTTTTTTGGCAGCTGGCCAGTATGGGGAACCAAAACATCCTCGTTCAATAAAACAAACATTTCTCTGACTTCTTCATTCAATCCAGCTGATCACTCCCATCTTCTCAAAACCCTTGCTTTTCTGCCCCATGTGACCCAGTAATCTCCTGGGTTTCCTTCTATTTCTTTTGCTACTTCTTTCATCCTTTGTGGGCTCATCCTTCACAAGGGGCCATTGAGTTTGATTATCTCAAGCCTTTGCTCCTAGTGTTCTCTTCTGCCACTCACTTTATACTCTTTCTCTAAGCAGCCATAACCATCTTCAGACCTATGAATGCAAAGATGAGTCACAAGTTTATATCCAAACCCCAGTCCTCTTTGGCAAGCATGACACCCATAATCCAATGTCTGCTTGCTCTCTCCTGGGAAGTTCCAGGACATCTCAAACGCACCATGCCCAACACTGAACTTAGCCTCTGTCTTTGCAAACATGTTCCTCTTCCAGTGTTGCCTGACACTTCCTTATGGGTTTCATTCATTCACATATCATAGAAGATGGCCTGTCAATTTTACCT